CCCCCCAGTTTTGACTGTGGTATCTTATGTGCCCCCCCTATATATTGCTCCTAGAGTCGCCACTGCAGCCGTGTGAGCAGGCTGGAACTGTATCATCTGACCTATGTCAGCAAATAGGGATGTGGGAAAGATGTTTAGAATACTGCAAAATCTTTTAATGGTGCTACAATGCAATGCTGGGTGAAGTGAATAAGATGGATTATAGAGTATGTTATGTTTGATGTGATGATCAGTGTGCAAAATGGATGTGCAGCAACTCTGACCCAAATAATATACTCCCCAAACAACCCCACGACTGTTTAAAGCAATTTCAGGAGTTCCCATCCCTTGCCACCTCTCATGCTTTCCTATTAGCCCACAGGTGATATGAGCAGCCAAGGGAAGCATGACTTAGCTTCTGAGTGCCTATTTACCACCAATGATGCGATTGTAAAGTGCCATTTGGACATTTTAGATAAGTACATAATAGGGTGTTTTGAAAGGGCAGCTTTATTCTAGTTATACAGCAGTAGACACGAAAAAGGAGATTGCTAAAGACCACACTACATCACTAAGCACATAATATTATAACCAAAAACATTTGCACATGACCAAGCAGATATATAGCAGAGTTCTATCCAATGCATACTGTTTACTTTTTTAAGAAGACTCTCAAATGTCTCCTGTTGAAATGATCAAAACAGTAAATGAAAACCAATGATACAGAACATATAAATCTAAAACATTAACAAAGCAACTAATAAGGATCTCAAAAAACAATTTGTCACTAAATGTTCTTTCTAACAGTGTGCTAAGTTTGTGAAATGCTTATTTGTGCTGCTCTGAAAATAACTTTTGCTTTATGTGTTCAATATCTTAGGTTTCATTTATGGCTTTGATCATCACAGACGGCAATATTTGCTTTAAATCTAAATCATCCCATCTAAGTGAACATGTAATGACGCTGTGATTTGATTATTCATGAATAATATTTGCTTATTATAACACTAAAAGTATTCTACTGTATAACAGCTGTTCTCTAGTATAAATAAATATTTGTAACCATAGAGCACATATTCTTTGTTCTGTCATTACTTCCCCAGAGGCATCCAATATGTTGATGTTTTACAGTAATAGGATACATAATCCCATACATGTTTGCCACAAGAATTCACACATCTGGAAATTCATGTAAAAAATATAAAATATGCACAAACTAGAAATGTTCTCCAGAAAAAACATATCAGTTTTCTCTGGGCCACTTTGTTCTTCAGGTTTAAGTACACAATGTCATTTGAAGGCACATATTCTTCTGCCGCACAAGGACCTGGCCAGTCAATAGATTTATGCTTTCTGTCACTTTATCCGTGTGATAATTAAAGCAGCTAGCAGAATTCAATACAAGAGAGCACAAGGGTAGTAATGTGATCTTGATCAAACATTTGTCAGTCTTTGTAGATGATGACAAGTATTTGAATAGGTAAGTGAATGGAGCTCAGTTGTGAATATGAGCTAAGACAGAATTTGAAGCAATGTTGTGTTTCTAACTAATGTTAGACCACTTAGCAATGACAGACCTGAATGACATTTTATAGAAAAGTATTTGGTAGCAATATATTGTACAATGCTCTTTTTAAAAACTCTAATCAATCCTGTACACATATGAAGATTTCTATAAAGCATACAATGACATACTGCAATAGGGATTCTTACCTTTCTCCTCCCAAACTCTTTACACTGTACATGGGCAGCATGGGTGTGTACAGTCCCGGCAGATGACGTAAAGTGTGTATTTAACCCAAAGTCAAAAAAATATATATTGCAGTTTACTATTCTTAGATGTGCTGGCTGCATTATTTTTTAAGGTTTTTCCCTTTTGCTTTACCTAATGATCAAGCCAGTAACACACTTCCAGTCTTAGGGTGGCTCCACTCTATGTATGGGGCTATGGAACCACCCTTGGACAGCAGGATTGTAACCCTGCGGATAGGTAGTAGTGTTAGATGGGCTAGAACAGAGGTAGGCCAACTCAGTTCCTCCAGCTGTTGCTGAACTATGAGTCCTATGAGGCATTGCAAGACCGACAGCTAAAGTAATGAATGCCAGAGGCAGATGCATGATGGGATTTAAAGTTTCACCACAACGGGAGGGCTGGAGTTTGCCTATCCCTGGACTAGAAGATTTAGATGGACTAAAAAATTAAATCTGAATGACAGCTAACACTTTTTAAGCAGTTACAGCACAGTTTCTCTTTTTTGGGGGACAAAGTTTTTACTTTAAGCACCCGTGTAAGTGTTCAATGGTTTGTCTCCACCCTCTATCTGCTACTTTGTCTGAACAGCTCGGTCTGTTAAAGGAAGCTTAATAATAACAGACTTATCGGCTGGATCACCAGGTGAAAATAAAGGGGGAAAAAAGCCTAACAACGTATAACTAATGCAGCCACAACATTCAAGGACTGCTACGATGTAATATATTATTTTTTGCTTTTGGGTTTATATACACTTTAACGCCCAAGCGCATGTACAGACATTATATCATCTTTGCCTGGCCAATCAACATGGCTGAACATCTCAGACCCGTAAGAAACCAGTGAGAAGAAGTTGGCATTGGCAATGGAGCTTGTAGATTGGGAAGGGTGCACAGTGAATATTGCTGGAATGTGGAGAAAGGTACGGATTTACGATAGCCTGCTGCACTAAAAGTGAACTGGTACTTTCAGAGAGACGCTGCTACACTTATTTCACCATTACTTTTTCATTGCCTTATTAAATAAGCCATAATGGGGGATGACTGGTAGATTGATGAAGAAATGTATGGCATATATCTCTTGTGCACTCTAGAACCATTACACACTCAATAGGATGCCATATCAATCCATTACCTGTGTAAATGATTTAGATAAAATAAAGAAAGCTTGCTGTGTAGATAGACCTGAAGACGTTAAGTAGTTGATTAATTAGCTGTTTAAATAATAAATGACACTATGGGCTTTGAAGGTCACATAACATTATTGTGAACTATTTGATCGCAGCTGTCCTAAAAAAGAGGAGACTAGAGATGCTCACATTTAAAAGATGTTCAATACCAGATCCAGCTACCCTCAATGTGCATGGATGGGATCAGGTTGCACCAGAAACCCTCACCCTGCCAATCTAAGGGTAAATAGTGGTCTGATATATCAGCCAGTTGGTATTGTTTCATCTACCGTATATACTCGAGTATAAGCCGTCCCGAATATAAGCCGAGGTACCTAATTTTACCACAAAAAACTGGGAAAAAATAAAACTGGCACTCTTGGTATCTGGCTGCACATTCCCTTCCTGCCCTTAAAACATAAATATGCATGCTCAGTCAATACAATGGTGCATGTTTATACAAAGATCTTCCAAAAGATGATGTTTGGGCTGTTGGATTCTGCCTGCTGGCAATGTGTCTATTTACTAGGACATAACATGCATGCGGCTTAAATGTTCTCTTAGTTTATTTATGGGTTTCCCCAATTTTGTCCCCCAATTGGTATATATTGATGGCTTCACTGGCTACCATTTAAATTTGTTCATATTGTATGTTTGAGAGTGCTAGGAAGATTATATTGTCAGCTCCACAATGCATCAGAAGCTGATGTGAATGGCTCAATGCCCTCTGTAGAGCACTGCGGAGATATTTTAGCACTGCATAAATATTAAACGTTTCTGTATATATATATTTATATGCAAACACACACATATTTAAATTAATCCAATTTATTATCAATCTTTTTCAATTATTTTATAAATAGGTGATAACTCTGCAAATGAACACAACTAAAAAAGCACCCACCAAGGCTGACCTGCCCACCAACTATGACCTGATTGGGTCTCTATGAAGCACTATGGAATATGATTACTAGCATATAAGTGAAACAGATACAATAAATACAGCTTTGGATTTTGCCGGTAGCTCTTTAACAAAATTAAACTTTGTATTTTAGGTTAATTTGTTTTTTAAGCAGATTTTTCTTTTATTTGAAAAAGACAGTAAAGACACTGAAATACATACACATGAACATACATAAACTGTGTCCAAACACACATGCACATAATGTAATATGTTAAATGGAGGTGCACTTACTTGAGCCAGTCAGCAAAGTTCTAGCAACAAGACAATCAGGATGCAGCAGTGTTTCAAGCAGCAAGTTCCAATTACAGCATGGTTGGGATAAGAGCAGTTTCAGCTGACCCTGGACTGCCATTTCTCCTGCTGATGGAGTTCTTTCAAAACGTAAGATAAAGAGAGAATAATGCAGTTAATTTATCTATGAAATGAATAGCCTTAAAGTGCAGATGTAATGCTAACTCATTTAAATGTCAATTCCTCCCAGATTACTCAGAAAATGCTTTCATGCTTGCTTACTTTAAAACTGCTCAGGGAAGGAATTACATTTAATCTCAAGTAGCTAAGAGCAAATTAACATTTGGTAGGCTGCCAGATATGTTACTGACACAAAGTAACTTCACTCATCCATTGTGTGGAACCATGTATGTTCTTGTTGCAGAAGCTAAAAATTGCTACTTTTTGTGCATGGATAAATCTGCCTATTCCATGTTTTACCTTAGCGACACAATACCCAGGAGGTGCACACAAATTAATTTATTTTACTGCTACAAATCACAAGTCATTTAGACAGGCAAAAGACTAATTTACAAAATAACATTCTGTTATTTAATCAGGGGAACATATACTGGCTTTGCAACCCATGCAGAAGAATGGGTGCCATTATGATTGAACAGGGAAAGCACAAGGGTAAGGAAAAAGGGTCATCCATTTAACTACTGACCATCTAGATTCCTCTATAGAGCAACCAGAGTCCAATTAGGCTATTTAATGGATTAGGAATGTGATTTGCTCCACTGTGACTTTGAAAATCACCAGAATTTACATTGTTATTACCATAATTCTACAAGATTTTAGCTGGCACACAATGGTCAGCTGCATACAATCACAGTGTAATGTAGTTAATATGATTCCAATGTGGATCCTAAAAATCAGTTTTGGGGTCCCCAGGTTGTAAGACTCGCCCCACCTTTTATTAGAGTCCAACTCTAGGCAAAGCTGACACTGGACTCAAATTTGTGGTAGACAAAACTATGTCTAATGATTCAATAAAATGTAATTTTATCAGCCATTTACCAAATTATAATATTTGTAATTCAGTAATCGCCTGCGATTGCACAGATAATCTAAATTAAATATGGATGTGTGCACTGTAAAAATAAATCAATATGTACCCTGGTGCATTCTAGGCAAATAGCTCCATGGCACATGAGTAAAATATAGCTAATTGCAGTATCCACAAATAACAGCAAACCTACCTTCCACTGAGCTATTAGCAGACCTCTAAGACTGAATTAACACTAAATCTGGGGGTTAGAGTGCAAATTTCAAAGGGCACTAGGCCTGCCAACACATTAAACGTTGTTTAGACTTTCAAGCACCATCGGCCTTCCTTCAAGCCACTAGTCATTAGTGTGCAGCTATAATAATATTCTTGCGGAAAAGAAGGGTTTTAGATTTATCTTGATCAAAGCACTACCCACTACCTACATACATAATGTTTTTACTTAGAGGAAAACTACCTTGTGCCTAATTCCCACCAAAACTCTGCCTTCTGTAGCATTATGTCCAATGCAAATCATGTATACTTCATATTATGATGGCCTAGGTCAGCCTTTCTCAACCAGGATGAAGGGGGTTCCTTATGTAAAATGGGAACTCTGATGTAAAAGGGGGGCTCTGATATGAAAGTGGGGTTTTTGATGTGAAAGTGGGGCTCTTAATCCAAAGGGTGACTCTGATGTTAAGGGGAGGGGAAATCTTAAATTGAAAGGAACACTTCAATGTGAAGGGGGAAACCCACTTTTTTTAGGTGTTTCTGTGTGGGGTCCCCCTTAAAATCTATGACATTTTAGACTGGAGTGCCTCAAGATTTTGCATACTTGTAAAGGGTGCTATGACAAAAAAAAAGGTTGAGAAATACTGGTCTACGTACATGATCATTTCCTTTTGTACAAAATTCAACTTTTTTTTAACTACTATGTTACTTAATTATTATACTCAAAATTAAACCCTGAATGTGCTATTAGAGGCAGCCATTTGTGTATTATATATACAGAGGTACCATGTTTAGACTTTCAAGCACCAAAGTTGTGTTGGCTAAGTACCAACCAATAGCAAACAGAAAACGTCAACCAAGGCTGAATGTTACAGGAGCAACAGAGAGTTGTCTGACTATGGGAAGCAGCCTTCGTACTTTTCCTCCTCATACCTTTGCTGCTGGATTTACCCAAAAGTATGTAGTGGTGGCCCGACACAGCACAAACAAAAATGTCAAAAATGAAAAAGTTAATAGAAACCATAGATGTGCATTGGTGATGTCGTTTCTGAACTTGCTGTCCCAGACTTTTGATGGTACCTCACCGTCTATGGTAAGTTCCATAAGCCTTTTTACAAATGGTAGCTGAAGCGTGTCCAATAGCTCCTCACTTATTAAAGCAAAGTGCTGTAATGATCATATTTACAAGAAAAAGTAACCAAAAAAATAATTTAAAAGCGGATTATAAACTTTAGAAATGATCTCTGTAGATTTGTAAAAAATTACTGTTACAGAAATATGAATCTTTTTTTTTTGCCTTGTGGGGAAAATTGAAGATTTTAATTTAAGAATGCTACTCCAAAAGCAAGAAAGGAAATTTAGTAGCGGTAAATGAGGTTACGTGCTCTGCAGCACTTAGCAAAGAAACATGAAGCTTTTTCCAAATGCATCTGTTTAAAAAATAAAAAGCAAAAGCAATTTATAGAAAATTATGGTACAAATAAATTTTTCCCAAAAAACAGATGGAGAATAATCAAGTTGCAATATATACACATTTCTGGCTCTTAATTTAGATGCAGACTGAAACACTCACAGCAAAGTGATGTGCTCTAAGGGGAGAGATTTCAGGCTGTAGGAAAATCCTTGGCCACTGAGCGACCACCGATAGTTGTATGGAGTGGATCTATGCTGCACATATGGAGAGGCATATGCTAGCTCATTCTCATAAATAGCACAGCTCTGTGTGAGCAAGACCAGCGTCATAAATGCAGGAAGAAAAATGTTGTGAAATAGAACAAACTCATTTTTAAAAGAAAACAATAGAAATAAGCCAAAACGTTTGTACATTTTCCTAAGAACTTACCAACACATTATTATTGAGTAAATCATATCTGTGTATTTGGATGTCATGATAGGATCTTACATTTAAAATGATTAACAAACCACATTCAGCATATGATAAAAAATGTAAAAGCAGAGGTTATCCTCAGTGAAACCTTATGTCAAAACAATAAGTAGTTCAAGAAATAAAATCAGCTTAAATGATATGCTAACCTTGACTTTACCTACAAAATGTGAGCTTGTCCCCACCACATCCATCACTGAACCCACTCTATTGATCTTCATATATAATGGACTACTTGACAAATAAGGGAGGGATCAAACTAGACATTTACCAGAGAAGTCAACATTTGCATCTTTCTCTTAACAGGCCAGAACAGTTTTTACACTTGATAACTTATATTTTTCAGTTTTCCTCAGTTTAACTGCCTAGATTTAAGAGTCAAGGGGTTAGCAACAGAAAAGGGCCACACAAGCATGACATATTCCTCTGACCTGGTATTATTGACAGAACTAAGTTAAAAAAAACAAAGCTTTAGGCTACCCTTTACATGGAGCCTCCCTGCCATTAATTACAGATCCACCTCCAATGAAACCGCCATGATCTCTACCCACTCACTTTCTAACACATGACTGTTAATATTCAATCTGACTAAAAGAGTTAGGATAAATCCCACTTCCACTGGTTCAGAAGAGCGGGTGAAAATGAATGCTTTATCCAGACATATGTATTTGTCTCAAACCAACCCCATTGCCTTTCCCCACTGTTTTTTTTACCTCAATCCAATCCCTATTCTGTACCTTCCTTTAGAATAATGGGGCCCAGGTGAACCATCAAACACAGAAAAATTGGGAGAAACGTCCCGTGATGCAGCGCTAGCACTGAGGTGAGGGTGTAGGGGTGTGGGTTAGAGTACTTGGTGTGCGGCTCCTTTGTAATGCGGACCGGGGTGTCCGACGTTTGTGAAATAAGAAAAAACAAAAACAAAAAGTAAAGGTACCAGGTAGTGGCGCTTCTGTACTTTTTGTTTTTGTTTTTTCTTATTTCACGAACCATCAAACACATGCCTCTCCAATGCCTAAGGATGACATTGGCTTTCAAGTTATTATTACTTATTACTGGTCATGTCAATTTAGCAGGATAGTTAACTGGAATGCCCATGCTACCCTTAAAGACCCATTGGAGCACATGTTTTCTCTGCTTCCCCTGCACTCCAGCTCATGGATCAAGAAAAAGACACATTCCTTTCACAATCATCTACTCATACACACAACACTACAAACCTACTATACCCCAATAAAAAAATATTTTAAAAAACAAACAAAAGAATTAAAATTATTCTCCTACCACTTTCCTCAACACCTGGTGGACTGACCAATTTCAACTGGCGAAAACTTTATTTTAACATGGCATGTTCCTTTAAACTCCACAACTTCACTGATGCTTAACACCATACCCTATTCATTCTTTGCAAGTATGGCACTTCCCTAATGCCCAAATCTCATCCACTACAAGTGAAAAGGGACTACTGCTGAGTCCAAGAGGGAACCACTAATGTTAGCATGTAATGACATCGGAAGAGGGGCAATAGCAGTGAAGCACATAACGTAATAGGTATCAGGGTTGAGGAAAAAGTATTTATTGCAAGCAGCACAGCATCACAAAGTCCAGCCTCAGGTCTGCCCCACTATAATGTGTTTCAATCAATCACTGGCTTATTTATAGAGCATGGGGTAGACCTAGGCAGGTAACACACAGTATATACAGTATATTAGAATGTCCAGGTGCTTTCAACCAAACTATTACAATATTGAAGGTGACATACATCTCTTAACATGGAATAGCACACATTAATGGTTAAATCATAGTTAGAGTACTTGGTGTGCGGCTCCTTTGTAATGCGGACCGGGGTGTCCGACGTTTGTGAAATAAGAAAAAACAAAAACAAAAAGTAAAGGTACCAGGTAGTGGCGCTTCTGTACTTTTTGTTTTTGTTTTTTCTTATTTCACGAACCATCAAACACATGCCTCTCCAATGCCTAAGGATGACATTGGCTTTCAAGTTATTATTACTTATTACTGGTCATGTCAATTTAGCAGGATAGTTAACTGGAATGCCCATGCTACCCTTAAAGACCCATTGGAGCACATGTTTTCTCTGCTTCCCCTGCACTCCAGCTCATGGATCAAGAAAAAGACACATTCCTTTCACAATCATCTACTCATACACACAACACTACAAACCTACTATACCCCAATAAAAAAATATTTTAAAAAACAAACAAAAGAATTAAAATTATTCTCCTACCACTTTCCTCAACACCTGGTGGACTGACCAATTTCAACTGGCGAAAACTTTATTTTAACATGGCATGTTCCTTTAAACTCCACAACTTCACTGATGCTTAACACCATACCCTATTCATTCTTTGCAAGTATGGCACTTCCCTAATGCCCAAATCTCATCCACTACAAGTGAAAAGGGACTACTGCTGAGTCCAAGAGGGAACCACTAATGTTAGCATGTAATGACATCGGAAGAGGGGCAATAGCAGTGAAGCACATAACGTAATAGGTATCAGGGTTGAGGAAAAAGTATTTATTGCAAGCAGCACAGCATCACAAAGTCCAGCCTCAGGTCTGCCCCACTATAATGTGTTTCAATCAATCACTGGCTTATTTATAGAGCATGGGGTAGACCTAGGCAGGTAACACACAGTATATACAGTATATTAGAATGTCCAGGTGCTTTCAACCAAACTATTACAATATTGAAGGTGACATACATCTCTTAACATGGAATAGCACACATTAATGGTTAAATCATATGGCATCTCTTATATAGCACAAATTAAAGTCATGAAATTAGCACAAATCTTAACCAGCCAAAACATAAGACATATGCATCTGCCACACCTAAATTTAAAGCCAACTAATCTTTATTATCAATATTAAATTAGAATTAACATTCAAAAGTTATAGTTTTTTTTTTTTTGTTTTGTTTTTTAAACATCAAAGAACCTCTGGATCAATATAGCTCAGGAAACATTTAAAATGTTAAGTTAATTTAATCAATCAAATAGATGTTAGGGTAAAAGGGGAATGGGAGAGGAGGAAGGGGAAATAGTATAAGAAAGTGTGCTGTGTGATATTGTGCTTTAAATGCACTGTATCATGTGATTAACCCAACACTATGGTATGAACAGGCCCTTAGTCTGAAAACCAACTGGCTAAACTCCTCTGAATAACAATTTTAAGACATGTACTTAATAGTGCAAAAAGTAAGTAGAAACCCGTGGTAAACAGTCACCTTTATGCTTTCAACAGTTTAGAGCCTGCAGAATAAATAATGATGCCGTTAGAGATAGAGACTGAAATTACATGAGGCAGGATAACAAAGATCCAAAGATGGGCCCCAAAGTACTTTCATTGTCCTGCTCCCTATGAATGCAGATATTTGTAGCAGCATCCGTACTACTGGATCAGAACAGAATATGAAAAAAGGACAACGAAACACATTTTCTCCATATAATCTCAAGTAACTCACAAAAACCTGCACTTTTGTAATAAATAATACTTTTATCACCAAACTTCAAAAACTGGTTGCCTTCAGTAAATTCACATTGATAACATGCTTAAACAACCAGTAGATCTAGAAATATTGGCAGACAAAGTTCCAAGCTTGGTCCCTGCTGATTCTCCCGTTTGGTCCTTCACTGTGATGGGTGACACCACTGACCAACCAGGATGCTTAGGTGGAGAGGAAGGTGGGCTTAATTCTGCTTTAAAAGTGTAAATGTACCTTTGGTCTAGTTACACTTACATCATAGCCCAACAAGCAAAGTAAAAAGGACAACCACTCAGATGATGTTATACTTGGCAAAAGTAAGGTGCACACAGGCAGGGCAGTTTGCAGAACAATACATAAGTTCCTCAGCACACATGCCAGCCAATTGGCACAAGTCCAAACCATTTCCAACACTTGCATTAAAATGGGTTTCTGTTGCACACATCTACAAATATATGAAGTCATAATGCCAAGCTAAGTGTGATTCCTAACTCTAGTCTAACAGAGCTCTGATCTTAGGACTAGTGCTTTTTATTGAAGGTAACCTATGCTTACAACAGATCTAAACTTGAAACAAAAACTAACCTGGTAGGTAGAAGAGAGTTTATAGTCTGCTTTACCAATAAGCTTTTTTAACTGTCTGGCAATTTCTGTTAAATGTACACAGACAAGGGCACACGTGCAATGCAGTGAACAGTTCTGGACCATTGTAAGCTGCCAAGTATGCAGCTGGGTGACGAGAAATATAAATACAGGGCATATAAGCAAAATTTACATCATTAGTGGCCGTTCAAGGGGCAAAGCAAGTGCACGGCACACCCAATGAGGAAGAACATGGCAGTGGTGGCTATGGAGTAATGACAGGTGCTTGCAAATCTCATTGCTGGAAAAGAGGACACCTAGAAGTAAGTGTGCCATAATGTGCAAGTATGCCACTCCCCACTTTAAGTTCTGCTTTAAGCCATTTTGTTAAGGTTTCATGTATTCGAATAGGCAAAAAAGAATGTAATATACTTACTTTGATGATAAAGGAAATAGATTGGGATTAATTTTCTTTAACCAGTAGAGAAAATCTTCAGGTACTGGTTCTGAAGTATGAGTGTGATGTTCAAGAAAACTATTCTTAACTGCCCTGCAATGATAATTACATAAAATAAGAACTATTGCATCTTAAATTAGGGCTTTCTTTTTACTTTTTTCAAATCCTTTATTGAAAGAAGAGGTGCACAAACTCCACAATTAATGTAAAATATAGCATATAATTCATTTGCTTTTGTATTCGAATGTATCATTCTAAAGAGAACATAAACCTGGAATATTTTAAATGGCATGAAATTACAATGAATTAAAGTTACTGCATCTCTTTTATTTTCTTAAAAACGCATTTTTTTTTTCAAGAGCTTTCATAGAAGGTGTGAACACTTTCTAGTATACAATCGTAAGGCCTGGGATTCTTCATAAAGGACAATGTAATGGTCAACTGGAACAGCCATATTTGAACAGAGAGAACAGTAGTAAATACGAATGTGACTAAACTCAAACAAATAGTAGTTGTCCAATTTAAATATCTATTTAATAAGATAAAGCAATGAACAAAGTAAAATGCTTATTGCACCTATTTCATGAAAACAATTATACTGACAGCATTATGCAAAACATTAGAACAACCTGCAACTGAAATCATGTTTGGATGAGCAACAACAGAAACGCTTGACTATGTCTGCATGACGCAAGTACTGAGTTGCAGTCACTGTTTGACAATATGAGGTCTATTTATAAACAATTTGCAAAGTTCTTTACCCTGTAAATCTTTGTGAACGCTCATTCTGTACAAATAGAGGCAAAGTTTGTTTTCTTTTCAGGTCAAATGTATACATGCTGAAAAAACTGCATGATGGCCACTAGATGAAGCTGAGGAGCATAAAAAATACATACTTATTTCCTATGCTTCTTAGTGCCATCTAGTGGGCATGATACCTTATTTTCAAGATGTTGCATTCAACCTGAAAGAGAAAATATGAACATTAATTTTTGCCTCTATTTGCACACATACACAAAGATTTGCAGGGTGAATGCCTCTGCAAATTGTATGTATGTATGTATGTGTGTATATGTATGTATGTATGTATGTATGTATGTATGTATGTATGTATGTATATATATATATATATTTATTAGGGATGCACCGATACTCGTGCAAATACTCCGATACATAAAACGAGTACCTGT